GAAGGCGGAGCATCCGTGCGTGCCGCGGGGCAGGGGCGGGGCCGTGCGGCGCCGGCGACAGGTTGGCGTCCGCGCAGATCCCTCCAAAACAGGCGCCACGACCGACGCGGACTTGCTGGAGTTTGAGGGGCGGTGGCAGGGTTCCCGGGAGAGGAGGGTGGTCTGGAGGCGGGGGCTGTGGGGCTGGGGCCTCGCTGGAAGCCCTGCCACCGCGGCTTGGACGCGGACGGGGGCGCAAAGTTCTTTCTTTGTAGCTGGTTTCTTCGCCCTCGTTTGCTCGGGTTTAACTCGGGTCCAGGCCGGCTGCGCTCTGGTCGCTCCTGGGAAAGCGGGCGTGAGACCCGGCCACAGTGTCCCAGCGAACACGCCCAGTGAGGAGAGAGGGGCACCGTGGTCAGAGCCCGCTTCAGAGCAGGGCGAGGGTGCGAGGAGCCAAGTGGGAGCGCTCTGGGGCGGCCAGCATTTTACTAGTTAAAAGTGTGGCCTGTAGGTCTGGAAGCAATTGTCCCAGGCGTTCTGGTTTGAGGGATGAAGGGATGGCTCGGTCTTTGAGAAACGACATCTCTTTCCTTCCGCGAGCGTTTATGCAGCACCTACCGTGGGCCAGTCACTGCGCTGCGTTCCGGGAGCAGAGGCCGGTGAGGGGTCCCTGCCCAGGAACGTGCACTCCAGTAGGAACAGTGATCAGCTACCAGGCATCGTTCCAGCATTTTTCTTCCAAGTCACCTAGCTGCAAACATAAGAGGACTTTGAAAATTAGGAAGTACTAGTTAAGAAAAGATTGCTGTTCCTAGAGAACAGGGTATCCCAGTGCTGGTCTCAACCTTCTTCCTCTCTGCCCTTTCTCCTATTCACTGGCTTTTTACCTACGGAGTTTGCTGCAGTATAAATAAATCCCTTTTTCTCATATTAGTGTGGAGGGGAAGCGTGAACTTTATACTCTTTTTAAACGGATTGAGTAACTTCTGTGAAGGTCACTGATTCGAAAGACTCTTTGCCCAAATAGAAAAGGAAGTAGAAACCAGCACTTGGTGGAGAGAAAAAAAACAAAAAACACCTGTGGAAAGAAACCAGCTAAGCGGTGTTGCTTACAAGTGTGTCTTGGGACCTTTATCCAAATCACCTGGCTGCTTATTTAAATACAGATGCCCAAAATATACTGAAGCGGAGTGCGGGGATGGGCCCTGAATCTCCTTTTAAATTAGTTTTCTGTTAATTCATAGGCAGAATAAACCTTGGGAAGCACATTAAAGTTTGAGAACCATGTGGATGGCGGGTTCTCTTTGAAATGTAGCTAAAAATGATAGCTTTGTCCTGGTTTGGGTCCAGGAATCTGGTTTTTTTTTGGCGTGGGGGTGCGAGGCGGTTCTTTAAAGGCCTGTGAGAGTGGCAAACTTGGGTGGTCTTCAAGGGCTGCTAGGGCCAGTGAGTTTATTCTTTGGGTCACAGGTCGCTAATGCAGTAGAGTCCCTCCTGGGAAGCAGCTGCCTCTGGGGTGAGCCAAGGAATCCCTGGGGTTATCATGCCATGGGCAGTCGTCCCGGGGCATGTCCTCTGGGGCAGGGCTTGTAGCTCTTAACATTGACTCCTGTCCCTGAGGGAATCCCTGGCTCTTCATTTTCAAAGCCTGTTGCAGTTCACTTATCCAGTAGATTTATTTCAGGGCTGTGCATCCCGAATGGGAGATGTTCCAAGTCTTTAGGCTTTTTCTTTTTTCTCTCTGTTACATTTTAGATTCAAATAGCACAGTGGTGTCTGGGCACCTAAATGCCTTCTCCCCACCCCCCACCCTCTATAGTTACTGAATAGACCCTAAGTCCTGATGGTTTAAGCCCCAGGTTGCAGGGCTTTCCTTGTCTCAGATTAAAAGTCACCTCTACACATCCTTGCAGCTAAAATAGGAAAGGAAAATATTTTGATCCTGTTTATTACCTGTTTTCATTTAGGATAGGTTTGTTTAGATTTAAAAGTAAGTGGAAATTCACTTTTGTGTCATGCTGAGAAACTGCCCCTCTTCATTTCTGAGATGTCATTATTTTCAGAGCCTTAACATGGGAAATCTAAACAATTCCACCTAAAACTTTGGGCATATTGGGAAGAAAATCCAATGTGACAGTACAGCATAGCACTTCAGTGGTCAGGACCCTCCGCTAAGTAGCTGTGTGATCCTCAGCAGGTGACTAAAGTTTTCTGTGCCTCAGTTTCTTCATCTGTAAAGTGCGTGTAACATATATACTTCCCTCAAGGGGTGAAGTGATGTGTTTAAGAGCTCAGCACAGTTCCTGGCACATAACAAATATCAGCTAGAATATTATCTCTAATAACAGATTTCTTGCTTTCAGTGTTTAATGTAACTGTCAATTTTGGCCTAGTGATAGAGTTCATCTAACTGTTATAGGCACTGCTCTGGTGGGACTTGGAGAGTGGCCAGCTGAGGAAGTAGAGTGAGGACATCCTTAAAGTACACATCCCACCCTGCGTCTAGGCTGGCAGGGACCCATTGTTATCACCAGGTGTGTCCAGTGGGAATGGACAGGGAGTGCAGTGACCCAGTTAGATGAAGGGCCCCACATTTCAGGAGTGACGTTACCATGTGGGCTAAGCCATGTGGAGATGAACGTGGAGGCTTCGTTCACTTCATGCTGAGGAAAGTTGCACCCTTTCAGAAGGTACTAGAAAGCTTTGGATATATTTTCTAGAATAGCCAACTTTAAAAGTGATGCCCAGTGAAGAGTGGTCTACCCATTAAAATGTGGGTGTTTTGCTTGCAGGGATGTGTGGGTTTGGTAGGAAAATAAGAGACATCACCTTCTCAAGTTGCAGAGGAATCAGTGCTGGGGTTGTCAGGGTTGGGGAGGAATGGGAAGGTAGGGGCTGTAACTGAATGTAGTCGAGAGTCCTTAATTATGTCAGGAATATCCTGTCCTTTTGTTTATCCTTTAAAAAGATACTGAAATTCATTTTTTTGAAGTGTCAAGAAATAAGTTGCCTCTTAGAAACACTTAGTCCTGTTTTAACTTGTTGACACCCATTAAATTATGAGAGCTCCATCACTAGTAGGGTTCAGAGTCCACTTCAGGCTGAGCATAGGTAGGAAAACATCTTCACGTTTTCTTTTTCTGAGATTTCCACTGGAAGGGACTTGCTGATGTGGCTGTGTGTTTTAGGCCTGTAAATGTAGCCCATGCATTGAGCGGATTGTTGAGGTCCTCTTCCTCTCCCAGCTGTGTTTTCTGCCTTGATGAAATTCCCCAGTGCTTGCTTTCCCACTTCCTCCAGTCTTCCCATCTGCCTGCAAGTAAGCTGAATTCTCTTATTGTGTGGAGCAGCCAGGCAGTGAATGAGAGGGGACATGGATGGTACCCAAACCCTACTTGTTAGCACTGGCTTCCAGCCTGTGTGACACACCACTCAGGGGAGGAGGGAGTGTGGTGCCCACCTGGCCCCCAGCTGAAGCAGAGGAACATTCCTGCACCAAACCCCCGGGTTACTTGGGCTGGACTTTCAAGTGAGGGGTATTCAGATATTCAGACTAGCCTTTTGGAAAGCCGCTGTGACTAGTGTTGACTTATTTCCTGGGAAGTGTCTCCAGAAAAATGATGGCCCCTTGAAACATTCTGGCTGCAGAGTCGATGAAATTATCGTGCTTGCTGCGCTCAGTTCGGTTTACCCATGTGCAGTAGCTGGAAAACTTGGTTAATCCAAACAGGGGTTCCATGCTTAATCTTATGGCTTGGAGAGAAAATTAAGCTGAACCTTGAGAATAAGATGTGTGGTTTCTTGCATTCTGGGAAGAAAACTTAGCTTCCATGCAAAAGTGTACTTTATATTTTTGATGCATGTCGGCCCCATAAATTCCTAAATTCATCCCAAAATAACTTCTACCCTGGAAATTACTCAGAGGTGACTTTATAAGTAAAATATAATTCCTTACCTCCTTCCCCTTCGTGCTTCAGCCTTTCCCTTGAGGATAAAAAGAATTATCCTGTTCGTCCTGCAGAATGAAAAGTCGAGAATAAGTACTTGCTTTCTGTTTGTACTGTTTGGGGCCCAGGGAGGTAATCTGTTCGCAGGAGGTTTTATTGAGGCCCTACCTCTGGAGAGCTTACTGGGTGAGGAGGAAGCATATCAGTGAAAGATCACCTTGCCCTTGAGCACAGACATGGGGGAACCACCAAATGAGGTGCTCCTGAAATGCAAAGCGTGGAGTGTGGCTAGGGGAGCCTGTGCTGCCGGGGCAGGGGACGGCGAGGCCTGGGAAGACTGCAGAGGTGGCGGGCAGGGAGGAGATGGTGCACAGAGTGCAGAGCAAGGCAGGGGGCTGCAAATCTGCAGAAGGGCCCATCCTGCCCTCCAACAACTGCTGGGGTGTTTGGACTTGAAATTCCAGAACTGTTGTTCTCAAACATCATTTAGCCAGGACCTCCTTTTCAATGAAATCTTAGGTGGCCATCCAGTATGCAAATTTAGAGAACTGCTGGGTGAGGGAGGACTGGTGTCACCACCTCATCTCAGGGTGGTCCCCAGGCACCACCCAGGGCTCCTGACACATTTTAAGACTTCTTGGGTTCTGGGAAAGTTTTAAAGAGAAGAGTAGCCAGTTTCCTAACCAGTCTGGGTATTTTCCTCTCAGATTCTTCAAATAGAGAAGACTCCATTGAGGAGGACGAGGAGGAGGAGGAAGATGAGGAAGAGGAGGACGACTTGGAAGTTAAGGAAGAAAATGGTGTCTTAGTACTAAATGATGCAAACTTTGATAACTTCGTGGCCGACAAAGACACTGTGCTGCTGGAGTTCTACGCTCCGTGGTAAGGACTGACATTCTTCTAGCTGGACAACCTCTGTGCATCCCGAGCCCGGCCCCTCATGAGGCCATCCAGGCCCCGGGGGGGAGTGCCTGGCTGCAGGAGCTCACTCTCTTGCTGTAGGAATGCTGGGCACTCAGTGGGTTTGCACCAAGGAGGCAGGCTGCTCTTGTTCCAGGGTCCGTGGGTGAAGTATGAACGCATGCTCTGTTAGCCACAGCTGGGGTGGGCGCTTAACAGGCAGTGCTGACACGGAGACCCATGCTGGGAACAGACACGGCCTTGTTACACGTGCTACCCCTGTCCTGTCTCAGGGCCACCCTTCCACTCCCCTGCACGTTACACGTGCTACCCCTGTCCTGTCTCAGGCCTGTGAGGTCGGTTTTTATTGCACGCGCAGGCCCTGGGAGAGCAGTCAGGCACCCACCTCTTCTCCCATCTTCCACCTCACAGTGCAGGGGTGTTCCTGCCCCTCACCTCTCTTGTGTGTGTGCATCTCATAACCCTGCTGTGCTCCCTCCACTGCCTGCCCCATTTCACTTCTGAGATGAGAGTCAGGATGAACTCATGTTATTTGCCCAGTGCCTGATGTTCAAGCATAGTGTAAGTGCTTTACGTAAAACATCTCGATAGTCCTTTTAACAGGTCTGTGAGGTTATATTATTCCTGTTTCATAGATCACCAGTTCTTAAACTTTTTGGTATCAAGACCTCTTAAATATTGAGGACCCCAAAGAGGTTTTTAGGTGGGTTGTGTTTATCAGTATTTTACCATATTCGAAATTAAAAATATTAGTTCACTTTAAAATAACAACCCATTACATGTTAACATCAGAACACTGACATCCTTGTGAGTCAGGTGGCCTTTGAAAAACTCCACTGTACACGCAGAAAGAGTGAAAAAGACAAATAATGTCTTACATGATGAATTTTGACCTCACAGACCCCCTGAAAGGGGGTCACTGGGTCAGACCTTGGGAAATTTATAGGTGCAAAAATTGAGGTTTAGAGATGTTGAAAGTATTTGCTCAGGTAGAGCTGGAATTAAAATCTAGACGTGTTTGCCTTCAAAAGCCCCTTTGACTTTTTCCATTGTGTTGTGTGTCTTAACTGCATGTATTTCCTAAAGCCCCCATTTTTGTGTGTGTTGGATTTAAATCTCTGTGGGTACAGTTAACCTGTTTCTCCTTCCCCAAAATCTAATTCTTAGGTGTGGACATTGCAAGCAGTTTGCTCCAGAATATGAAAAAATTGCCAGTGTCTTAAAGGATAATGACCCTCCCATTGCTGTTGCTAAGATCGATGCGACTTCAGCGTCCATGCTGGCCAGCAGGTTTGATGTGAGTGGCTATCCCACCATCAAGATCCTTAAGAAGGGGCAGGCTGTCGACTACGAGGGCTCCAGGACCCAGGAAGGTGAGGTGCTGCTTGAGCTGTTAGAGGAAGCTGGGGCTCAGAACTCCCTTCCCCAGGAACAGAAAGTGAGGGGAGTGGGAGTGTGGATAATAGAAAGGAAAACAAGTTGAGTGGACCCGTAACTGACTTCCCTAGGAGCACCAGCTCTCTGCTGGAACGTTTGGGGTAACCAAGATCTAAATTAAACTCATCCTTGGATGAGAGAGGCATCTGTACATTTCAGACCACGAAACTCAAGATCTGGAGCAGCAGTGTTAGAAATGACATGAGAGGCCAAGGTTTGTGGTGGTGTCCTAGAGCAGTGGTTCTTCATGTTTAGTGTTCAGCAGAGTCACGTGGAGGGCTCCCTCCAGCAGATCCCTGGGCCCCAGCCCCAGAGTTTCTGATTCAGTAAGTTTCAAGTCAGGCCAAATAATTTGCATTTCTTACAAGCACTCAGGGCTTGCTGCTGCTGGTCCAGAGCAGAAGCAGAGAACCGCTGGTGCAGAAAGCCACAGTCCAGGGAGTCTCCAGATGGCATCTGCAATCTGGCCTGATGGATCCCTGCCTGACTCACTAATTAGGCACTGCATAAATTTTATTAAATGAATGAACACATAGAAGTGTGGTATCTTCTAGCAAGGGCATAACTCTTTAATGACCATAAGGAAGGGGGAACAAAAGATGATGCTATGTTTCCCGTTCCCAAAGTGGAATAGTAGAACAAACATTGAATAGGGTTCAGATCTTTATAGCTGTAAAATAGGCATGTGCTGAGCCTTGGGTTCTCATCTGTGGAATGTGTGGTCAGTTGGATGTCATCTCAGAGTTCCTTTGAGTTGGTGTGAGAGTCTCCTCCTTTAAGCAGTGGACCCTGTTGTGGGCACACAAAGTAAATATTGTCACTTCCATTGATACTTAATTTCATAGTGTATTGGTCTGTCCATTGACTAGGTGATATGTTTATATGCTTCATGATTGGAAGAGGTAGATTAATGAATAGGCTTTCTGCCCTGACCCTGGTGATGCAGCTCCCCTCTCAGTGCGGCTGTTGTAACAGGTTTCTTCTGCATTCTTCAGAGGTAATTTGTATACATAAAAGCCAGTATGTTTTTTGTGTGTATAGTTTTTCTCCTTTTCACACAATTGTTAGCATATCTTAAACACTATTCTTCACCTTCGTGTTTTTATTTAACAAATATGTCTTAGCCATATCAGTACATAAATAAGTTGATCTAGAAACGGGTTGAAAGTAGTATACTTCTATTGTTTAAGAGTAAATAGGTGTATATATTTAGAAGTCTGCCCAGTGTTTGACTGTGAGGGACGTGGCCCATTTTGGAACCTTTAGAACAGCACATGCCGGTAGGCCCCGCAGGCCACTCCGAGTGTGTTTTGCTAAGCGGGCCCCCACGGTGGCTGGCTCAGGAGCCCGGCGTGGGCCCAGCAGGCCATCTGCGCTGTGAGCTGGCCATGGAGGTGCCTCTTGTGCGTGACTCAGTTTGACGCTGCTGCCAGGCAGGAGCAGTTCTTAGATTTGGCTCCTCGGTAGGTTCTGCAGTGAAAAAAGGAGAGAGACAGTGTGCAACACTGGACCTAGGAACCAAGCACTTGGCGAGTCTTTTTTTTTTTTTTTTGTCTTTTTCCGTGTCTGGCAACGGATCGCAACCCTCAGTGTTGCCCCCGTACCGGACCGGGGACCAGCAACGGGATTGCAACCCTCGGCGTTGCTCCCGCGCCTCGCTCAGCCAGTGAGCGGGAACCGGTCTGTATGTGGGATCCGAACCCTCAGGCAGGAGCGCCGCTGCGCTTCCCAAGCGGCGCACTAGCGCAGTGCGCCACCGGGCCGGCCCCTTGGCGAGTCTTTTTTTTTTTTTTTGTCTTTTTCCGTGTCTGGCAACGGATCGCAACCCTCAGTGTTGCCCCCGTACCGGACCGGGGACCAGCAACGGGATTGCAACCCTCGGCGTTGCTCCCGCGCCTCGCTCAGCCAGTGAGCGGGAACCGGTCTGTATGTGGGATCCGAACCCTCAGGCAGGAGCGCCGCTGCGCTTCCCAAGCGGCGCACTAGCGCAGTGCGCCACCGGGCCGGCCCCTTGGCGAGTCTTATGTAAGCATGTATTATAGACATACTCCAGTCACTGAATCCGTTTTTGGGGAGGGAGGCTGCAAATGGTGCCCCTTGGCGAGTCTTATGTAAGCATGTATTATAGACATACTCCAGTCACTGAATCCGTTTCTGGGGAGGGAGGCCACAAATGGTTTTTTTTTTTTTTAAAGACTTCCCAGGTGATGCCGTGCACCTTGAGCAGGGGGAGCTTATGCTCTTTCACATTTTTTCCGTTTTTGCACACATTTTACAGTGTGTGTAATGTGCTTGTGCTAGATGTGTGTGACTACATGTGCATTTTGTGCATGTTAAGGGGATGCCCCAAAATCGTCTCAATAGGTGTCTGTGATCAAAACCACTGGGAGATTTCTACTTTGTGCCTGCAATTGGTCATATAGTCTGTTAATAAAGGAAGTCTCGTTCATCAGGCAGATCTTAGGCTGTCTAGAGAAGTCTGCATGTCGTGCGTGAGGTGGGTGAGGTGGTGGAAATGCCACAGACAGTTTTTGGGGAACAGTGGACCTTCTGCTTCTTAACTGTTTCCTCAGAGTTGTAGAGGTGGCCGTGGCCAGAGATGCAGTCACATGTCAGGAAGTGAAATGTTTCCTGTTCTCCTTGTGGACCTGCTGCTCTCTTCCCCGCTCCCCACTGCTTCTGGAGTGAGGTGAAGGACCTGCCAACTCGGGGTCTCCATGTGCTCAGTTTTGTTTGGTTTCTTTCAGAAATCGTTGCTAAGGTCAAAGAGGTCTCCCAGCCCGACTGGACGCCTCCACCAGAAGTCACGCTCGTGTTGACCAAAGATAACTTCGATGAAGTTGTGAATGATGCAGATATCATTCTGGTGGAGTTTTATGCCCCATGGTAAGATGGGTGTCAGTTCGTATTAAGATATTAATTAGGCCCTTAGGGGGTGCCGGGGGGTGTCCAAGGGAAGGTGCCAGGAAGAAAGAGAGTAGGAGAGAGTGCAGGTGGCTGATCTGTGAGGTGCCCAGCTTCACAGGCAGGGGACAGAGGCTGGGCCAGCTGCATGGCTAAGCCCGGGGAGCAGTTGGAGAGACTGTTTCCAAGAGAGAGATGAGTATATCTCCAGGAGGGGCCATCAGTCTTCCCAGGACACAGCCTGAGGTACCATTTATGAATTCGTCATGGGTCAGCTGGTAGTTCTGATTCTTGAGCAGGCTTGGTATTTATCAGGATATGCTGTGTAAACCAGAATAGAAGCCATAAGAATGGCCTCAGGTGGGTGTTGCCTATAGATGAGCCCCTGGGGAGGCAGCCAGGCCAGGGAGCTTGAGAGCCTGGAACGGGCACGCAGAGGCCATGGTTGATACAGGCAGGTGCCCTCGCTCTGGGCAGTGCCTGGACAACCCCAAACCCCAGGCTGTCTGGCTTCTGCCGCAAACACCACTGCACCTGGAAATGATTGGGTGTATGGGTGAGAAGAGAAGACAGGTGGGTGGTTGGAGAAGAAAATGAGTTGGGGAAGAAGGCGGGGAGCGCCCTGGTGTGTGGGGGGAGCAGGCGGGCGGGCGCCCTCCCTCCCCCTGCAGTGCTGGAGAGAACTGCACTGGTGGTGCTATGATAGGGGCCCAGCCTGGTGAGCAGGAGGAGGAACAGCAGGACCCTGCCGTCTGGCTGCTTGGCTGCTTTGTGGCGTCTGTATGTGTGACGGCTCAGGAGCTAGGGAGAGCGGATAGGCGGCTGCACGCTCAGTGCGCGTGGTGCGGGTCCCTCTGGTCAGTGAGACCTCAGAGCATGGGCCCTCTCACTTACCAGTAGTTGCAGGTGAACATTTATTTCATGTGTGTCTTAAGGACCTGGATGAGACAATGTTCTTTTTTTTTTTTTTTAAGATGACCGGTAAGGGGATCTTAACCCTTGACTGGGTGTTGTCAGCACCACGTTCTCCCAAGTGAGCCAACCGGCCATCCCTATGTGGGATCCGAACCCATGGCCTTGGTGTTATCAGCACCGCACTCTCCCGAGTGAGCCACGGGCCGCCCAAGGCGGTGTTCCTTTTAACTCAGTAGTGGGACCCTACAGCAGGCAGGGTCCTGGCCTGTCCGTTCTTATTGTATAAACGGGGCTATGTGACGTCTTAATTCCCAGCTCCCCGATGTGTCTTCTCCTGCCAGGTCGGTGTGTGTGTCCATGTGGGTTTGTCACACTCTTCAGCTCTCCGTGCCTTTGTTCATGTCATTACCTCTGTCTGCTGTCCCTCCCCTCATCCCACCTTTCATGGGCTCCTGTCTAAATCCCTCATGTCAGGACCGGCCCGTGGCTCACTCGGGAGAGTGTGGTGCTGATAACACCAAGGCCACAGGTTCGGATCCCTATATAGGGATGGCCGGTTAGCTCACTGGTGAGCGTGGTGCTAACAACACCAAGTCAAGGGTTAAGATCCCCTTACCGGTCATCTTTTTTTAAAAAAATAAAAATAAAAAATAAAAAAATAAATCCCTCATGTCGCAGCTCAGCTGTCCCTTCCTCTGTGAAAGCCATCCCGAGCTCATATGCTTGCGAGCTCCCAACTCCCCAACCAAGAACATCCTCCCTTCCTGTACCTCGTCTCTCTCGGTCTCTCCCATGCCTTCTCTGTGCCTGTCACTGACGCTGCCGTCTCTGCTTGTGTTGTGTGTGTGACCGCCTTCCTCCTGCTGCCAGCCCCTCACCTAGGCCTTCAGAGGTTTGCTAGATGTCACAGAATTGCCTGGGGACACAGGATGGGTTTCTGCACCTCATGTAGCTGGAAGGCGAGTCCACACTGGAACAGGTCCCTGACAGAACTAGCTTCCTCTTGGCAGGTGTGGACACTGCAAGAAACTCGCCCCCGAGTACGAGAAGGCCGCGAAGGAGCTCAGCAAGCGCTCACCGCCGATTCCCCTGGCAAAAGTCGATGCCACTGCAGAGACAGACCTGGCCAAGAGGTTCGATGTCTCCAGCTATCCCACCCTGAAAATTTTCCGCAAGGGAAAGCCTTTTGACTACAATGGCCCACGAGAAAAGTATGGTATGGCCACTTCTCTCATCCCGTGGTGGGGAAGGGAGCCCCCTGACAGGAGCTGCCCTTGGAGGGGCTGGCGCAGGTGCAGGTGGGGGTGGGCAGCTCCCAGCCACTCCTCAGGCATGTGCTCTGCTCCCAGGGATCGTTAACTACATGGTCGAGCAGTCCGGGCCTCCCTCCAAGGAGGTCCGGACCCTGAAGCAGGTCCAGGAGTTTCTGAAGGATGGAGATGATGTCATCGTCATTGGGGTCTTTAATGGGGAGAGTGACCTAGCCTACCAGCAGTATCAGGATGCCGGTAAGTAGTGACCCTCTGTGCTGAACAGAATGCATGTGGCCCAGGCCACCAGAGGGTGCTGGGACATTTGCTGCTCTTGTATAAAACTCCTTGGGCATCGATTTAGGGGATGGCTTGATGGAGGGATTGAGACAACGTTTGTGGGAGTAAGCTCTCCATGCTGGGCCTGCAGCTGGGTCCCTGTTGCCTTCATTACGCCTGGCTGATGCTCACAATCACACACTGATCACACACTAAATTAGGTGAGACGGGCTGCACCATCTCCTCCTGGCCCCAGAGAGAGGGGCACAGTCAGACTCGTCCAAGTCCATCCACTGTTGCCTTCCTCCCTTCAAGGAGCCCTTCCCAGAGCCCCTCTGCAAGAGGGAAAGTCTTCCGACCGTAAAGTGAGGGTCTCTGAATCAGACCTGGCTTGAGTCCTGGCTCTGCCATTGTTAGCACTGTGACCACAGGCAGTGACATGGTCAGCTCGGTGTTCTCATGCCACAGGTGGTGGTTTCTACTTTGAGAGGTTGTTGAGATAATAGAGATGAAGAGCTTAGCACAGTGCCTGATGACACTAAGTGCACAGGGAATGCTGGTCTCGATAGTCTGGGAAGTGAAATTATGAGCAGCTGTCAGTGGTGTCTGCGAGGATGGGAGAGGTGGCAGTCACCCCAAAACCCATTGTCTGCCCAAGTCTGGCTCCTTGATGCCTGGGGACAGGGGGACTTGCTATCTTGGATGGCCTCTAGGGTGGGAATGGAAGATGGGTTTTTCAGGGACACTCAAGATCCTCTTCATCTGTTTTCTGAGTGTCCGCCCCACACACACCACAAACAGCTTGGTTTTCTACTTTAGAATACTAATTATAATCTTTTAAATGTACTGCTTGCCACTTGGTGTTAATCCCTCTGCTATACAATAACAGCTGTGCATACACCAAATGCAGCTTAATGTTGTAATAAAACTTATAGTACGGCTGTATTCTGTACGTGTTTCCTCAATCCATTGATTAGGTAACCTTGCCATCCACTCCTAACTAGTGGGTTAGGAAGAAACATGTAGAGGGAAAGCCCTGTCGCCTCTCGTAGAGTGACGGAGATTCAAAAGATTACTCAGAGCCCATGTATTCAGAGCAATGAGAAGCCTGAAGGGACTGCACTGAGGAAAACTTCAAGAGATGAGAGCCCAGGCACAGCCCCGAGTCAGTTTTTGTTTTAGTTTTTATTGTAAAGACAAGAAAGTTACAGAAGGAAAACAGGTGGTTAATCAATCATAGTGAAAACAGACAAACTGGCTACATGACAATCTTCATCAAAGCACGTGTAACTTAAAATAGTTCAAGCAATTTATGATCAAAAGGAGTCGTAAAACTAAGCTGTGTGATGTACAAAAGGAAACAATGAGATAATCACCAAAGTGCTTAACTCCTGGAGAAACTCAAAGAAACAGCTTACAGTGGGATGTGGAACGTCCTCCAGGCACTAACTAGCAGAATATCCTTGGGGATTTTAGTTCACATACTTTCCCTTCATTTAGGTTTATCTGCACCGAGGGCAACTGCCCCCCCCCCCCC